TGAAATCCATGATTTTCGCAAGTCTTACTCATCGTCATAAAGAGAAATGTTAGCATAAAATCAGTAAAATATCTCAGCTACTAGTACTAATTATATTTAAAAGATTACGAATCAAAAGCCGCACGTGCAGCACCACCAGAAAATTGTGTCTATGACTTTGATATTTACTTTTGTAATCTTACTGCTAGGGGCTGTCAGAGAAGTACATTAAAACGGTTTTGTATTACCAGTGGGTACTTTCTCTTTCCTAAGTAACCAGTCCTCGCTACTTTCGTATTATTATATCTAGGGTGAGAGCATTACACATCTGGCATCACATATTTTTTAAACTACTTTCTATTATATCTTCTTGTTATTTATAAAATGTTTTATGATGTATCATAGACATATTGAGAGCCATACATTTTTTTTATGTTGACGAGGAGGAGGAGGATGCTGTGGGGGGGGGGGGTGAGCTACCACTCGCACCCACATAAAGCATTACCTTTGTAGTAGTCTTATGCTCTGATTCACTCGTTTTGTTAGCCATTGCGATTGAAAAAAAAACAGCGGCACCAGCACAGAAAATAGCATCCGTTGCTACCATATGTACAAAAACAACTAAGTACATTAGAAACAAAAGCAACTCATTTGATAAAAAAAAAAAAAAGGTGGAATCATTATTCTGCGAGCACAATTAATCTGAAATCGCGAACACTCTTTTTGGTGAAAGTAACCTTGTCCCTTTAAATCACCCTAGACAATAACTCTATATACAACAGCGTAGATGGTGTAGAAAGTTTTTGAGTGTATGTTTGAAATACATTTTTCTTTTTTACCCAAAGTGTCTCCAGTCCCCTTAAACCAATGTCATACAGTTTTATGAGTATGCTATGCTTCCAAATAGCGGCATAAACCTTTTCAAGGTCAAAAAGACTTTTTGACCCTTTAAATTTTGTATAGCAGTCTCTGGGGCATCAGTAGTTTCTAAACCCATAATGATATGAAGTAAGCACGTTTTCCTCTTTTAGTAGTCATGTCAACATAAAGTTTATCCTTTTCTCCATGAGCTTGCAGATGAAGCACCCTTGCCATGTTTGGTATTGGAATGATTATATATTTTTTTCCATGTGGATGCCACTGTGCCCTCCCTAAAGATCCTATTGAGTCTTGCATATCGCCATTTCCTAGGCCAGTCTTACGGCTGAGCTCAAAGCTGAGTCCACCTCCCTGAACAAAAATGCCAAGTTGTATGGAGGTTCTACTGCAGTCCTATTGAAGAATATTTGACATTGTTCCTGTTGGGTCCTTTTGTAATGGATCAAAGTCATATCGCTAGGGCAACGTTTCAGCTGCCTTAGTACAGCTTTTCTTGCTCTGGTTCACATTCATCAAGCTACCATGGTACTGGAGGTCGACAGTACTGCCCACCACTTTAGTAAATGGATGTTTCTGCTGCAAGGTGAATTCGTGATGTGAAGTGATCAACAGCATTTTGAACATTCTGAAAATCATTCACAGATCCCTCCATTAGTGTTGGAAAGTGGTTGCTTCCTTGTCAGTCTTCCGTGACTTGTCAAGTAATATCCAACTGTGAACCAGTTGATAGGTTAATATTGGAGAATGTCCCAGTTTAAATTTGGAAGGTGTGGATGCGGCACTGAAAATCTCCCTCGAAGGTTGAAGAAAATGTCTCCCAAGAGTAGAAATGGTTGAGGTAACTGTCCAAATAGATCTTTGAGATTGTATGGAAAAAAGTAAATGGATACAGCAGTTTAAAGTTGTTTCAAGTCTATCCTCACAGCCTTCACCTACAGACATCTGCAAGTGGATGGCATGAAAGAATTATTCTGATGTACAATCACTGCTACCCCTCCATGATGACCATTTTGAAAAGTCCCATAATGGGCTTGAAATGAAATCTTTTTAGGGAAATTGGATGATTTTCCCTGGTCATAATCTCTTGTAGGCATGCACAAACTAGGTTACATGGAGCTTTCAGATGTTGCAATTCCTCCTTATTTGCATGAATTCCCTGACAATTCCATTGGTTCAGGGTATCCATTTTCTCAGGTTGACAAGCTACCTTTTCATAGGGTGTTTGGCAGCACCTGTGGTTAATGCTTGCCTCACATCTTCTCTAGGGTTTCCCCTTACCAGCATCTTAGGAGTGCCTTTTGGAACTATTTTCCACTGGCTTTATTTGGACAGGCTCAGGATTCATTTGCTTAGCCAATTGAGGGCTCTGGAAGCTTGCCTGATAGCTCCAAAGACCTAACTTTGTGATGAGGAATCCTAGGGACAGGCTCAGGATTCCTTTGCTTAGCCAATTGAGGGCTCTGGAAGCTTGCCTGATAGCTCCAAAGACCTAACTTTGTGATGAGGAATCCTAGGGACAGGCTCAGGATTCCTTTGCTTAGCCAATTGAGGGCTCTGGAAGCTTGCCTGATAGCTCCAAAGACCTAACTTTGTGATGAGGAATCCTAGGGACAGGCTCAGGATTCCTTTGCTTAGCCAATTGAGGGCTCTGGAAGCTTGCCTGATAGCTCCAAAGACCTAACTTTGTGATGAGGAATCCTAGGGACAGGCTCAGGATTCCTTTGCTTAGCCAATTGAGGGCTCTGGAAGCTTGCCTGATAGCTCCAAAGACCTAACTTTGTGATGAGGAATCCTAGGGACAGGCTCAGGATTCCTTTGCTTAGCCAATTGAGGGCTCTGGAAGCTTGCCTGATAGCTCCAAAGACCTAACTTTGTGATGAGGAATCCTAGGGACAGGCTCAGGATTCCTTTGCTTAGCCAATTGAGGGCTCTGGAAGCTTGCCTGATAGCTCCAAAGACCTAACTTTGTGATGAGGAATCCTAGGGACAGGCTCAGGATTCCTTTGCTTAGCCAATTGAGGGCTCTGGAAGCTTGCCTGATAGCTCCAAAGACAGTGATCTAAAAAGATTCCAGTCTGCATATCTTCACCCAATTGGCTGGAATATCATTTACCTCCTCTAAAAGTGTTGGAAAGTGGTTGCTTCCTTGTCAGTCTTCCGTGACTTGTCAAGTAATATCCAATTGTGAACCAGTTGATTGGTTAATATTGGAGAATGTCCCAGTTTAAATTTGGAAGGTGTGGATGCGGCACTGAAAATCTGCATCTACTCTTGAGAATAAGGATTTTAAGGCCCTCCCTCGAAGGTTGAAGAAAATGTCTCCCAAGAGTAGAAATGGTTGAGGTAACTGTCCAAATAGATCTTTGAGATTGTATGGAAAAAAGTAAATGGATACAGCAGTTTAAAGTTGTTTCAAGTCTATCCTCATAGCCTTCACCTACAGACATCTGCAAGTGGATGGCATGAAAGAATTATTCTGATGTACAATCACTGCTACCCCTCCATGATGACCATTTTGAAAAGTCCCATAATGGGCTTGAAAATGAAATCTTTTTAGGGAAATTGGATGATTTTCCCTGGTCATAATCTCTTGTAGGCATGCACAAACTAGGTTACATGGAGCTTTCAGATGTTGCAATTCCTCCTTATTTGCATGAATTCCCTGACAATTCCATTGGTTCAGGGTATCCATTTTCTCAGGTTGACAAGCTACCTTTTCATAGGGTGTTTGGCAGCACCTGTGGTTAATGCTTGCCTCACATCTTCTCTAGGGTTTCCCCTTACCAGCATCTTAGGAGTGCCTTTTGGAACTATTTTCCACTGGCTTTATTTGGACAGGCTCAGGATTCCTTTGCTTAGCCAATTGAGGGCTCTGGAAGCTTGCCTGATAGCTCCAAAGACCTAACTTTGTGATGAGGAATCCTAGGGACAGGCTCAGGATTACTTTGCAGGGAAAAGAGCGGACCTGAGCCTTTAGCCTTACAGATACTGCTCTTTAGCTATAGAGGGCAGTAAAGAACTTACTTTGGGAAGAAGAGTTTCCTCACTCTTACTCCACTTCTCACCAGAGGGAGTGTCAATGTTTAAGGTTTAAGGTCGAACTGTAGTGGCAGATGGAGTGGTGGAAGAAGTATTGAAAGTTAAGGGATGATAGGAAGGGGTTCAGGCTAGAACCGAGGGAAAGAACTTACTTGGCTGTGGGAACAGCATATGGGCATAATGCTTTATCTCTGGAAACTAACTCTCTCCATGTTCCTAAGCATTTATACTTCTTTTTCAAATCTGTACCTGTTACTCTGCTTTGAAGAAGCCTCATGAGTCTTTTTTTGTAGTGATAACCTCATACTGGACCTGGACAGTTATCAGCTCCTTGGTGACCAATTGACACATCCTCTTGGTAATCCATTTAGCCTAGGATGGCAATTGTTCCACATCAACTTTCTTGAGTGTTTTGTATGCAAAACCGAGACTTGAGTCCCAGGAATGTCAGATATCGCACATAGACAGTTGCTCTCATCAGATGACGAAACTTGACTATTAGGCTACCAACTTGCTGTTTGGTGATCCGGGGTACATGCTGACACACCTTAACTATCTTGTGATGCACTTCTAAAAGGTTGAGATCTATGATGGACAGGCCATCAGTTGTCTTCACTACAAGGTATTTATTATAT